AACCCCTCTCGGCTCTCTAGCTTCTTCGCACGCTCCTTCTCCTCCTCCTCCTCTCCTACCTCCAACATCCGGGAGCTGGCCTCGCCGTAGGTCTCCCGGATCTGCGGCACGCACTGCGGCGGGTGGGGGAACGGGAGATCGGACGGAGACGAGGAGGGCAGAAACGACGAGGGCAAGGAAACAGCACAGGGACCCGAGGGACCGGGATCGAGAGCCCCGGTCACCAGCCCCTCGCCAGCACAAGTAAAGCCGACCCACACCCCAGGGTCGACGGACACGAATCTCGGCTCGAGATCTAATCTAGAACGTGACACAAAATGGGTCTCGCTCGCCGCTGCAAGCTCGATAGCTTTGCGGCTGGCGCCCCGTGAGCGTGACTTGAGGGCCTCATTCAGGGCCCTCTCATCTAGGTGGCCGCACTCGTCGACGAGTGCCAAACTACCCCGGCAGAGAAGGTCGTGCAGCGCGAGATTCCCGCGCGATGGGTCGACCTTCGTGAGAGGATCGGCTGGCATTCTTCCGTGGGGAACCCAGCGAACTCTACTCCCCACAGCCGACAGGCTGTCGCGTATCACGGCTAGCTCCACGCTATTGCGGCGATCCGCTCCTGAACCTGCGGAATTCTTCGAGAGGGTATCGAAAACTGACTTAGCATCGACCACCGCAATCCCCTGGGCGGCCTCGCTGAGCCGGCACTGAGACGAGAGCAGCACGGAGAAAGGAGATTGAGCCTTGTACCATTCTGGTCTAGGCACGTCACCAAACACAGCGTCACGCCACAGAACTTGTAGCCACTGCGCCTCAGCAGTCGCCCCAGAAAGAGCAAGCGTCTCAGCAGCAACGGTACTGGCGACAGCACGCTTGAGACGCTGCGATCGCCATGCTAAGACCGATACTCGAGCACGGCGATTCTCTCGAACCGCAGCGTCACTAGCGGTCACGAACACAACGGACACCGGATCCAGGGCCCACACGGTGATTCTTTGCTCGGCCGATCCCCGGAGAAACTTACAGGTTTTGTTGAGCATCATGGCGTCGGCTACGGTGGGCTCCGGGAGGGCAGCAGCAAGTAGAGACGCGGGTCCCGCCACGTTTGGACGCGATTCCCAGGCCAACCACTGAACCTGCGCCACAATGGTACGAAAAGAAGCGATCTCAGCCCTCGTCAGAGGGGATTCCGGGGTGGACCTGACCGAACTGATCTGGATCTTAAGTTCGAGCTGCCTGAACACATAGAAGCTGCCCCAGAGCTAATTGACAAGGGGGCATGCCAGGAGGACGCGCCGCGAAACGTCCCAAGGGACGCGCCAGGCGACGTGCCAGGGGACGTGCCATGGGGTCGCACCGTGGGACGTGCCAAGGGGACGCGCTACGGAACGTGCCAATGGATGTGCCACGGAATGTGCCAGGGGAGTCGCCACGCGACGTGCCAGGGGGACTCGCCAGGGGACGCCCCACGGAACGTACCAAGGAACGTGCCAGGTTGCAATGCTGATTGTATCGATCTTGATGTACCGTGCAGAAGTCTGTGCTGTGCTGCACCGTGCTGAATTGCGATGTGCCATGCCGCGGTTGTGCTCTATAGCATCGTGGATCGAGTCCTCCTTTGCATCCGAGTCCTGACCGAACGAATCTGGATCTTAAGCTCGAGCTGCCTGAACACATAGTATCTGCCGCAGAGCTAATTGGCAATGGGACATGCCAGGAGGACGCGCCGCGAAACGTCCCACGGGACGCGCCAGGCGACGTGCCAGGGGACGTGCCATGGGGTCGCACCGTGGGACGTGCCAAGGGGACGCGCTACGGAACGTGCTGGGGACAAGCGTTTCGCTCGAGACATCCTGTCAAAATCCTCATTCTAGACATCCGCCTGGGTGACCTGGACACGTGAAAACAAACGTTTCGCTCAACACATCCTCAACACATTCTCATGCTAGACATCCGCCTGGGCGAATTGGACACGTGAAAACAAGTAGCTCGCTCGAGACATCCTCAACACATCTTCATGTGAGACGTCCGCCTGGGTGACCTGGGCACGTGAAAACGAGCGTTTCGCTCGAGACTTCCTCAACACCTCCTCATTCTAGACATCCGCCTTGGCGACCTGTACACGTGAAAGCAAACGTCTCGCTCGAGACATCCTCAACACATCTTCATGTTAGACATCCGCATGGGCGACCTGGACACGTGAAAACAAGCGTATCTCTCGAGACATTCTCAACACATCCTCATGCTAGGCATCCGCCTGGGCAACCTGGACACGTGCAAACAAGCATCTCGATCGAGACTTCCTCAACACCTCCTCATTCTAGACATCCGCCTGGGCGACGAGGACGCGTGAAACCAAGCGTCTCGCTCGAGACATCCTCAACAACTCCTGGTGCTTGACCTCTGCCTGGGCAACCTGGAGGCGTGAAACCAAGCGTCTAGCTCGAGACATCCTCAAGACCTGGGCACGTGAATCCAAGCATTTCACTTGAGAGATCCTCTAAATTCTGGTCCCCAGGAGAGGACGCTCTATAACACAAAACAAGCGTGTCGCTCGAGACATCCTCAACAAATTCTGAAAAACAAGCGTTTCGCTAAGGACATCCTGAAATTTTAGTTCGCTGGCCCTCTTCCCACTCGTCATTTATCGCAAAGGAAATCAGCCAGCCCTCTTCCAATCAGATCCGGGGGGAAACCTCTAAAAGAGAACCCTGGGCCTGAAGCCCTTTCCGGGAAAAAATCCCCCCGAGGAAGCCGTCGGAAATGATTAGACATTCGATGTCGATTCGTTGATTTTCTGGGCCGTAGAACCCCCCCTGGGGACCTTACAAAAAAACGATCTGGCTGGTAAACGCCGATCCGACTTGACCCCGCGAGGGGTCCAGGGGCCCAGTGCGAGCCGATTGTTCAAGGCAGCCAGACCATCGAGCCTGGCAGCCCGCCTTACTATTCTCTGACATCCGTCCTCGCCCGCCGCAGCTTCCCCCGCCGCCGCCGCCGTCGTCGTCTGCGTCGTTGTCGCCGTCGCAATTTCTGTACATTCCCTGGAGTTTCCCGAAGTCTTCGGGCTATCCGCCACGCCTCGTGCAGAGCTGTCTGGGTAGCCCAGGGAGACCTGGAAGGGGGCTCGGGGAACGTAAGGTAGCGTGTCGAAAGGAGGGGGGGCGGCCTTACGCTAATACAGTAACCCCACCAGACGGCACTTGGCGATCGAAAGCGCCCACTTCGGGCAGGCACGGCTGCGCAGGACATGGAGCCCCGATTCCGGACAGGCCTTCTCCTTTCGTACACTGCGGTGCCATGCTTTGCGATGTTACGCTTTGTGACGCAATGCTACATTTCGCAATGCCAAGCCATGGTATGACATGTTGTGCTCTGCCACGCTCCTCTACACCATGCTATGCCGTGCTATACCATGCATCGCAAACCCTCTCGGGATGATTGCCTTGCTCGACATCAGCCTGTGCGCATAAAGAGTAGATCTGCGCCATGGTAAGGGTTGGGAGGGAGGGGTATGACGACAGAGATGACGCGAGCGCACCTAGCTTGCCCTCCCCCCTTCTCCTTCTGACCCCCCTGCCCCTCCCCCTCTCCCTCTGCCCCCCTCCACAATTACTCAATATGACTACTACTCTCCCTCTTCCCCTGATGACGGTTTGAAAGTGCTCGACCCCCCCCCGCGTACTGTTTTTACACACAGGTTTCCCCGGAGTTGGGTTTTCGCCTGCATTTGTTTTCTAAATGCTGCTCTCGCTGAGGCGCCGGCCTCATTTTCGGGCCCCGCTCGTTCCGACTCGTGTTCCCGCTGCAGCGCTGGCCTCATTTCCGTGCTTCCGCTCGTTCCGAATCGTGCTCCACCTGCAGCGCTGGCCTCATTTCCGCGCTTCCGCTCGTTTCGACTCGTGCTCCCGCTGCAGCGCTGGCGTCATTTCCCGTGCCGTACCACGGCATGCAATGCAATGCTAGGTTGCGTTCCGCTGCGCGATGCCATGCCTTCAACTGAAGCTGTGCTATGCAGTGCTTAAGTGCCACGTCGTGCTATGCCATGATACGCGTTGATCTTCAACGCCATGCTATGCAATGCTATGTTCGGGGCCGCTGTGCGATGCCATGCTTTGCGTTGCAAAGCTTTGTGATGCAATTCTTCACTACGCCACGCCACGCCATGCTGTGACATAATACACTTTGCGGTGCTCTTCTACGCCCTGCCATGCCGTGCTCTACAATGCATCGCGTACCCTTTCGGGATCATTGCCCTGCTCGACATCTGACTGTGCGAGTAGAGAGGGGATCTACGCCATGGTAAGGGATGGGAGGGAGGGGTAGGATGTCAGTTATGACGCGAGCGCACCTAGCTTGCCTCCCCCCCCCTCTCCGTCTCCCCCCTCCCCCTTCCCCCCTCCCCCTAGCGAAGATTTGGGTCTGATATAGGGCATGTGTAGTATCTGTTCTTATCAGTTGAAAGCATTGCTTAGCTTCGCTTAGAGGACTGTATGACTGTAATAACATCGGGGCTCAAGCTCTTTGAAAACAGAGCGATCTCCGCTCTGGTAGCGGAGCCGCCCATCGGGCGGCGCGCGCGCGGCCCCGCCCCGGCAGGCCTTCGCGAGCCGCGATATCTTCGCGGACCCGGTCATCAAGCAGGTGATCAGCGTCACCAAGGAGGTGCGCAGCGCTACCAAGCAGGTGCGCAACATCAACAGCGTCTTCGACGTGATTATTCCCTACAGCGACCTCCTCAGCGCTACGGCCTGGCGAGGCTTCACACCCGGTAAAGTTAACGACATCCCGATTGACATCACACCCGGTAAAGTTCACGATATTCTACTATTCTACACCCGGCGAAGTTCACGATAGTCTACGTCTTTCACACTCGGTGAAGTTCAAGATAGTCTACAGGTATCTCATTGTGAAGTTCAAGATAGTCTACGGTTGATACCATGGCGGATTACTCACGACCTCAGACTCTACCCCTGGAGGAGAGTACACGGCAGGTTCCTCCCGGCTGGAAGCCGGGCGTTCCGAAGTACAGCGTGAAGAAATACTTGCAAAAGTTGTCTTTGTGGTGGAGAACCAAAAACGTTGATGACGACGGAGTGGCAACTCTTCTTGTGTTGCAGCGTCTTCAAGGAGGAGTGTACAAGCAGGCGTTGAGGTTCAAGGTTGAACGAGACGGCAGAGAGTACATCGGAGAAAACGCGTTCGCCCTGGAGAGAACGGAGGCAGACGAGCTACACGGAGCACAAGCGCATCCCTCAGGACTTTCTCTCTTCACTCGTTGGCTTGAAGGCGAATATGGACTGCACGATCAAGACACAGTCGGAGTTGCACTCGACAAATTCTTTTCATTCAAGAGAGGGCCCCGAGATCTCGGGCAATACATTTCAGATTTCGAACTTGTGTATGATGAAGCGGCAGACCAAGCAGGACTCAATATCAACGCAGTTGGACGGAGTTACTTGTTGCTTCAGGGATGCGACCTCTCCATCAAGAAGGTCGACGACATCGAACTCAAGATCGACGGGGACCTCAGACGGTATAATGACATCAAAGCTATCATGACGCGTCTCGCCAAGCAGTCACTGGCCCAGAACAACCCAGAACAGTACGAGGGCTTCTGGGTCGACTCAGATGAAGAAGAGTACTGGGATTACTACGGCTACTACGACGACTACGGCCAGTGGCAGTACTACGAGGACGACGAATGGTGGGACGAGGAAGAACAATATGACGAGCAGTATTCTCCACCTACGGCTTCGGCAGCAAATGACGAGGCGTACAAGGGATCCGGCAAGGGCAAGAAAGGAAACCCAGGCAACTGCTGCAAGTGCGGCTCGAGATGGCATCGATCTGAAGACTGCCCTGCCGGAGGCAAGAAGGACACCAAGAAAGGCGACGACAACAAAGGGAACGGCAAGAGCAAGTCGGACTCGAACAACGGCAAGGGCAAGCATCGTGGCGGAAAGGGCCGCGGTCGAGGCAAAGGACGAGGAAAAGGTTACCGTGGCAGAGGCAAAGGCAAAGGCAAGAAGAGCAAGGGCCACTACGGTGATGACTACGACGAGGAGTACTACGACGATAATTGGGACTGGAGAACCACTCACGGCAGTTGGTATGCGACGAGAACCAAGACCCAGAACAAGGACGCGCTGTGGACCTTCAACACTCGAGCAGAAGTTCATCATGGTTCATCCTGGTCTTCACTGCAGACAGTACCCTCCTACAGCCTGGACGACCCGGAGTCACCAGACATGGGACAAGGATTTCAGGAGACCTTCTCAGCGTCAGCATCGAAACCCACCTCGGCTCCTTCGGCACAGGCAGCAGGACCAGCATCACCAAGACCGACTCGGAGAGCTACGACTGGAGACTTCATGTCAGACATGGGCTCTCCTGGTCATGCCTCTACCTTTGACGATGACGAGGAAGCCGAACCCCGTCGCCTACCTCGCGGAATCGTTCCTGGAGGTTTGGATTTTCTTGTCAGAGAAGTTCAGAACTTGTGCTACGAAGATCAAGTATCACAGCAGAACAATCACAACGTGCACGAGGTCAACACGAGCTATCATTCTATCAAAGGCACCAAGAGGTTTGGTCTGCTTTACGATCCTGGCGCGTCGTCAGGCATCATCGGCACGGACGCGGTACGGGAATATCAGCAGGAGATTCTCGGCGGCGCAGAGATCGAATCCAGACCAACCCGAGCTCAGTTCACGGGCATCGACGGCGAGCCTACACCCGGCATCGGCAAGGCGATCGTACCATTACGCATCCCAGCCATGAAGGACGCGACGTTCACGGGAGACATGATCGGAGGCATGGGAAGCTGGTGCCCGGCTCTGATGCCATTGCCAACCTCGATCAGATACAGGGCCATCATGTTCTCGGCGATGTTCGACAACGGTGACGGCATCCTGGTGATCTTCCCTGACAATCGACGACTTGGCAATCGAGCTACACCAGTGTATATCAGGCTCCTGTTGACGGACTCTCGGCACTACATCATCCCGACGGACAACCAGCATATCCGAGAAGAAGTTGATCAACAATATCTTCATGGAGTTCTTCTGGACCATCTTCAAATATTCTGGGACTTCAAACCATCCCGCTCTGGAGGCAGATCGGCGGAGTTTCAAGTGGATACAGCGCCCGCGGACACTAGCACCGGAGCGAAGTCATCGACTTTTTCGGGCATGAGCAGGGATGCGACCAACCCAGAAATTCTGAAGCAGCTGGACCATCTCAGCAAGAGCATCGAGAGCATCAAGGATCACATCGGCCAGCCCGCAGCTCCCAACACGCACCACTTCGTGAGCATGAAGACGGCATTCGCTGGACACAGTTGTGGAGACGACAAGTGCACTCAAGACCACCAGTATCCTACGAGGAAAACGACTATTACAAGAACACAAAACTTCTGGAAGGTCTGGGGCATGTTCAAGGGCAGCGGCTTTACTGGCGATATGATTCCAGACGGCCTGAATCCGGCACAACAAGAACGAATGCAGAAGGACTACCAGGGTATCCCAGAGAAGTTCTACACCAAGACGAAACTGACGGTTATTACCCCCAGAAATGCGGACAGCTTCCTGAAACATCTTCAAAATTACAAGATCACGAGCGTGGACATGCAGGAACACTTCTCGGGAAGCAGTACCTTGTCATTCTGGGCATGGAGGTGCGAATTCTTTGTATTATTCCCAACGGATATGAGATGCGGCTGGAACCTCGGGCTGAAGGAACACCAGGACATCATTGCCAGATTTCAGAAGGCCATCCGTATCCAGGTGAAATTCTACACGCCAGAGTGCACCCCCTGGTCACAGGCGAGTCAGACGGCAGATCCAGAGAGAAAGGCAGCGAATCGCTCAGCAGATCTTCCAGCACTTCAATGGGTATCCGACGAGTGCAAGAACACGAACCTGGACGGCACGGACTACGTCATAGAGAACCCGGCCAAGAGCGCGATCTGGGAGGAGTCACCTTTGAAGGAGCTGCAGAGCGACGAGCGCATGTACAACAACATCTGCGACCAGTGCCAGCACGGAGCTCAGGACGCAGAAGGCACACCCATCCAGAAACGGACGAAGTTCATGGCATCCTTTCGCATGAGGAGAACGGCAATTCAGTGTCAATGCGTACGTCCCCATGCTTGGCTCGTTGGAGGCGCCCAGACATCGAAGGCCAAGATCGTCGCAGAGAAGCTGTGCAAGAACATCTTGAAGGACATCGGCAAGCGCATCGAGATGACGCTCAAGACACCATTGGACCTTCTTTTCTGGACGTGCGAGAGGTGCAAGCATGGAAAAAAGGCAGGGACACCACATACTAGAACAAAAGGGTGCAGGTTCGATCCCAACCGGAATCCTCCTGGAGTTGCTGGGCCACCACCAGTACATCTCCCTACAGCTCCTGCGGAAGCAGTAGCACCGGCTCCTGTGCCTGCAGCACCGGCACCAGCAGCAGTTCCTGTACCAGAACCAGCGGCAGCAGTTCCACAGCCACCAGCTCATGAGCCAGACTCAGAAGTTCCAGAACCACCACCAGGACTTGATCCACAAGAAAAGGAGACGAGTTCTAAGGGCGATACCACGGACCAGCCGAGCATCAGCAGTAAATCACCCAAGAAGGAAATAGCGATCAAGCCCAATTTCGACTTGCAGCGCTTCCAACATCAACTCGAAGAGGCGGCTTCGGATCAAGCACGACTGGCATTGCTCCTGGGATTTCATCTGAAGTTCTGGCACGCTACACCTGATGAGATGGCGAGACTACTGGCGGCCCTTGGAGTGGAACCGAACATCATCAAGCTTTGCCCACAAGTGGTCAAGGATCTGTGCGAAGGTTGTCGCAAGTATGCTATGCCGTTACACCGACCAGCGTTTCGCGCACGCATCACAACGAAGTTCAACGAGCGAGTTCAAGGCGATTTATTCTTCCTGTGGGACATGACATGGCTCATTCTAGTGGACGAGCACATCAGATACAAGGTCATTGGAGTGATGAAGGACAAGACGGCCCCAGAGTACCTACGTTGTATGGGAGAATGTTGGATCAGATTCTTTGGGCCTATGGAGACATTCGTATCGGATCAGGAAGGAGCTCTAACCTCGGACCTCGTTGGAACGACGCTGGACAGGTACACGATCAAGCGAGAGTTTGCCGGCACGGACCCGAACAAAGAGGAGAAGAGTACTACTGGATTGGTGGAATCTCATTCGTATGACCAAGTCTATAGCGTTGAAGAACGAGGTGGTCGCCAAGCGAGAGGGCCTCAACATCTCCAAGGAGACGCTAGTGTACGAGGCGTCGATGGCGCAGAACTTATTGCTCAACTTCGGTGGAAGCACGCCCGCCAACGCACTTCTCGGCTACACTCCTAGGGACTTCTACGACGAGAACTCGGCGACCACCATGGCCCACAAGGGCGCGCTCGAGATTTCACCCGACACGTTTGAGTCGAACGTACGTATGCGATTGTTATCCAAGCAGAATGTCCTGAAGACGATCGTTGAGGAACGCCTCGCCATAGCCAACAAGTCTCGACCACAGAAACTGGACATCGAGAGGATCAAGGTCGGTGACAAGGTGGACTTGTATCGCACACCGAGCAAGAAGGATCAAGAGGGCTGGCGAGGACCATGTGATCTACTACATATGAAGAGCACAGGAGCGATCGTGGTATGGAATGGATATCCCTACATCGTTCCACTGCGGCACATTCGGATTCATCAGAGACTAGCAGCTTGGACCAACAGCTACGAGCGTCAACATACAGCATCTTCACCTTCGATGTACTTGGTCACGGATTATACCGACATGCTTGACATTGTGGAAGGCACGGTTCCGTTCAAGCCGCAGATCGTGGGCATGCTGATTGGCGCCGACGGCAAGATGCGAGCTTCATCCAGTATGGGAGAGACACCTCCCAAGGTTTGGAGTCTAGCTCAGCAGTGCGCAGAGGACGAATGGGGAATCAAAATCGACGGTATTGTCTTTGGCAGATGTGTTCGACGGTTGTACGCGGTTACTGGAGCTACTTTCGGACGACAGGTGACTTGGGACTGCGCGAGACGCGATCAGTATGTGACAACGGACATCAATCCCAGCAGGCAGGTATTGGACAACATCAATGCCATTCCGAACATGAGCGACGTCAATGCGTGCAGCATCCTGTTCTATTCCTTCTCATCAATGGCAGAAGACGAGGAAACGAAGAAGTATGTCATCCCCGACTTCTCGGACATCTCGGCGATCGATCCCGACGACGAGAGCATGCTAGACCTACCTCTTCAATGGCCTCTATCACCTGATCGTGACCCAGTGGCGGAAGAACAACAACAAGGAGGACAACCACCGCCACCTGGACCGCCTCCGGCACCAGCAGTGGCAGTACAGCATCCTGGACATGGACATCCTCAAGCAGCAGAAGTACATCCTGGACTTGGACCTCCTGCTCCACCAGCTCCTCCGGCAGCTGGAATCCGACTTCTACCCGAACACGATCAACTACCACTTCCAGCAGGACTGCCATACGGCGGAGGACCACCTCCGGGACCTCCACCTGCTCCTGGACGAACAGTGGCAGCGGCTCCAAGCCCGCAGACATTCGACATCAGCGACACGGCATGGCCGGATGGAGACGTCAGCATCATCGAGGCGGACAGCAACATCCCGCCAAGACCACCGTTTCCACCACCGGCTCCGCAGCGAGTTACCTTGCGCGACGACAACAGCTGGAAGCGAGATCGACAGGCACTGGACGAATCTCAGCAGAGTATCAAAGTGGATGACAAGAGCATGATCAGTGACGAGCAGTTCGTGCCAGAGTCAGGCTCGGGAGCTCCTCCTCCACCACCGGCGCCGCCGGCGGCTGGCTGGAGACCACCACTACCACCTCGCGGATGGCTAGTACCTGGTCAGGCAACATGGAAGTCAAGAGGAACACTGGCAAGGCCAGCACCATACGCACCACCAGTACTACCAGTACCCAAGCAGGCGACAGTTCCGAAAGCGACCTCAGTAGCACCATCATCGAAGCCGATCATCAAGGAGACTACTGAAGCGACGCGAGCTCAATCGACACCACCGGCACGACGACGAGAACTTAGCCGATCACCGATCAGAGTAAGGAACGAACCTGGCACTTCGAGTTCATCAGGAAGCACGACTATTCCTGGCGGAACAAGTTCAACTGGGAGCCAACCGACTCCCGCGGCGACGACTGCAACACCGGCAACGACTACGGAAACACCTACGACACAATCTCCACCTAAAGCTCCATCTCCATCCTCAGCAGCTCCATCCTCATCTCCTACACCGACAGCGTCGAGCTCTACGCCGACGAAGACTATGGACAATCCTCCTGTGGTGCAAACACCACCTCCGACGAAAGCAGCGGTGAGTTCACCATCGGCACCATCTCCTGACGGGGACAAGAGTACCATCGTGTATGACGGAGGAGAAGAACAAGCAACGGTGGACTATGGACCTGCTGAAGAACCAACGCGAGATTATGGATCACCCCCAATGGCGTCATCGACAGGAAAGCCTCAGCCTGTAAGTCCTGGAGTTGTTAAGGAACCAGCTATCTCTCCAGAAGCTGCTAAAAATCTACCTCAAGTGGTTACTCCTCAAGGTGTTCGTAAACATGATCTCTCTCAAGACCTTGAAGATGTACGATTGAAGGTATCACCATCACAACCACCTGAGAACAAGAAGCTAAGGGCCAGTTCAGAACCTCCAGACGGTAAGAGACCACTACCGATCCTGGAAAGGTCGCCACCCTTGTTGACGGACACGAAACGCCCGAAGACGATGGAAGGATTCACAGCGTTCGGCGATCACCAACTCGGCATTCACCATGTTCAAGATCGACACCTGGTCAGCGCCTACATGGACAGCGACGAATTAGACGAGTACCAGACGATCGTGACCAGCATGGCCCAGGAAGTTTCAGACAACCTCCAGCGCATGAGCGATAACGAGTTAACATGGACGGCGGAAGAAGCACATTGGACGATACCCGGACCGTTCAAGGAGAGCAGAACGTTCTACTTCGACCTGAACACCGGCGACGCGATATTCGCCCAGAACGACGACATCTTGACTGAGGAACACATCGTCAAGTTTTGGCCGCTCGTCGAGGCGGCAGACCGATTGGAATCGAGGTCGTTCATAGACAATTTATGTTTCAAAGGTGTTCATTACAACAACATGGACAGTTCGAACGTGATCGACGCGGTGTGGGTACGACGTTGGAAGAAGGTCTTCGATAAGGACAACAACATCACGTATATCATTAAGTCAAGGCTTTGCGGTCGAGGTTTCTTGGACGCACAAAAGCAAAACGTGATGAGGCACTCATCGACGGCATCAAGACTCTCACAGAGATTGATTGCATCCCTCTACTCGACGGAGAGCGACATGATCATGGAGACCTGGGACATTTCGACGGCGTTCCTACAGGGACTGAACTACGAGCAGCTGCGTAAGCACGCCAAGCGCATGGGCATCGAAGTTCGTGAACAACGCAAAGTGCATCTTCAACCTCCGGCCAATGTCTGGCGGCACTTTAGGGAGTACGAGAAGAGCAACATCAGGATTCCCGAGACGGAAGTATGTTTCTTTGTATTGCAGCTACTGAAACCCATCTACGGCACAGTGGACGCACCCTTGTTGTGGCAGCTGGCTTTATCATTACATGTGTTGGACGACATGAAAGGAGTTCAGAGCGTGTTCGACGATAATTTCTTTATGTGGGTCAAGGACGGCAACATTATGATGGTATAGACGGTACACGTGGACGACATTATCGTATTGGCGAAACTGGCATGGCTGTTATGGGGTCTCAATTCCATGGAGAAGCGATTCGGCAAGATCAAGAGACACGAGCTACCTTTCACGCACATGGGTATGAGCTATGAAGTATTGGGCAAGAGACACTTATTCATACACCAACATGTATTCACGGAAGGACTCAAGAAGATCGAAATACCCTTCAAGCTCAAGGACAAGCTCGACCATGAATGCGACGCCAAGTTGACGCACGATTTGAGATCAGTACTTTGTTCACTGTTGTGGCTTTGTCAGACACGAGAGGACATCTACTGCGACGTGGTACAGCTACAGCAGATCGTGAGGAAAAGCAATATGGGACACCTGAAGCAGGCCAACTTGATCGTGGACCGCGCCAAGAGGAACATGAAGATGGCTGGATTGCATTTCGCACCATTATCTTACCCGGCCAGGCTGGTATCGGTTGGAGACGCAGGTCACGGCAACACGAAGACGTCTTATCCCCAGGAAGGATCAGCGGCATTTCTCATGGAGGACCACATGTATCAAGTACGTATCGACAAGAAGGACCTAGTGGATCCAAGTGACAACTACCTCCTCGGAGGCTCAACCCATCCTTTGATGATTGCTTCTGGGAAGTCCAAGCGTATATCTCATTCCACGTGTAACGCGGAGACGAATGCAGGCTACAAGGTGAACCAAGCGGCCCAGTTTATTGCATTACGGATGAGCGAGATTATCATGTGTTCGGAGGCACAACATAAGGCAAAGGACATGATGGAGATTTTCGATCGTTCATTGTATCAGGTGAGAATCGACCACTGCACGGACTGCATGGACTTCTGGCAACTATGCTGTGGAGTGAAAGGCGTACCCTCGAACAAGTCAAGCAGGCTGGCAGTGCTGAGCATGCGCGAGGAGAGGCTCAGCGGACGCATTCGAAACTTCATCCACCTGCCCACCGAAGTGGTCATAGTAGACGGGCTCACCAAGACGGGCACGTTCAAATTACTCATGGAACATCTGACGACGGGCCGATGGCACGTGGGGCCACCCAAGGGCAAGTACATCACGATACGCCGTATCAAATATCAGCAGGACAGCTACTCAGAACAGGACTTGCTAGATCTCAACGAGTAGAAGTCGTGGTGACGGTAGTCCTGGGGCTTTGGTCAGGACCTCCACGTCGCCACATGACCAGTCTCCGCCTTGCGTTGCAGCATCGCTGGCGCTTGGTTGGCTAGGGTCGTTTTGCTATCGATTCGGCGAAACAGTTCTGATCATTCAGATGAGGGTCTGGAATTCCCTGAGTTTTTTTTTGTATTTCTTGGATTGGTTCAGTCTGAAGAGAGAAATTCGAATGCAACTACAAAGGCAGCCAACGAATGATATTCAATGGATAGGCCAATGTACTATTGTCAAGGTGAAGTTCACGATGGAGGTACTACTGCTGTATTTCATGAACATCGTTAACCACCTGTACTTCTTTGAACGAGGCTTGACTGCCTCTTCTGTCTGCATGCTGCCGGCTGCCTGCTTGCTTGCCTGTCTCTTAGACGAGAGGTTTGAGAGATTGTGCATGTGTATTGTAGGTGGAGAATTAACAACACCTATATCTGTTTTGAGGTGCACCCGCAGCGAATATCATAGTTAAAACCCATGTTATCCGGGACACTAGAACCGGAGCGAAGATTTGGGTCTGATATAGGGCATGTGTAGTATCTGTTCTTATCAGTTGAAAGCATTGCTTAGCTTCGCTTAGAGGACTGTATGACTGTAATAACATCGGGGCTCAAGCTCTTTGAAAACAGAGCGATCTCCGCTCCCCTCCCCCCCTCTCCCCCTGACCCCCTGCCCCTCCCGCTCTCTCGGCCCCGTTGGCGAAGAGAGGAGTGACGGCTGCGCAATGTCGTCGCGAGGCCTTTGGTCCACGTGCAGGGCCTGCGAGCTTAAGAACCGCCCTCAATCCGTGAAGGTCTTGCAACTGTTTGAAGCGAATGTGCGCGGCGCTACGGCGAGACTCACATTTTAAATACGGTTCGCACTCAATCCGTGAAATTGTTGCAACTGTCTGTTTAAAACGAATGTGCGCGGCGCTATGGCGAGAGCCACATTTTGAAGACGACCCGCCTTCAATTCGTGAAACTGTTGTTCCTTTACTCAGCTTCAGGGCCATACAGCCGAGGCGGATTAGTAGGTCGACCCTGCCAAACCAAGGGTACCCCTGTGTCCTGTGCCTCGCGACCCATGTTTCTACATTCGTATGGCAATGTGGCCCTCGGAAGAGTCTTGTGCCCTCTTGCGTGTCCTCTTTAATTCACCCCGACTGTAAATGATCAGGAAGTCTCAGGCGGAACGCCGGGCCCGCCCTAAAAACTTGCCTCGGGGTGCGCGAAGCCACTCATAAGGAAAATGAATGGAGGGGAGGAGGAGAAGGAGGAAGAGGAGGAGGAGGAGGGGGAAGGGGAGGCCTGCGAAGCCTGCTGGGTCCAAACCCGCAGCCGCAGTCTGTCGGATTCCCGCCGCCGAGCGAGGCGGCACCGGGACCGCGAACGAGGCGGCACCGGGACCGCTTGCGCTCGGCTTCCAGCCTTGCACCGCAGGCGAAGCCTTTGGGGCAAGTCAGTTTTTGTTACCATGGTACGGCCACGAGTCCGCGATGCACGCTTTGAGCCGCGTCGCCGCCTGCCCCAGGCGCGGCGAGGGCTTCTGTTGTCCTCCGAATGTGCAGGGCGCGAATTTGCAACGCGAGTTTGCAGGGCCTCGTACGGCCACCAGTTCGCGCTGCACGCTTCGAGCCGCGTCGCGGCCTCCCCCGGGCGCGGCGAGGGCTCTTTTGTTTTCCGAATGTATCCGTTCATATATAGACCTGGGTTCTCGAGCAGTGCCGGTAGCGGCGGGGCGCCGAGGGAGCTGTTCTGTTTTGAAGGGGAGGGGCGGGGCAGTGAGACGGACGAAAGAACTTGACATACCGCATGGTGACATGATCATATCATCACATATCCAATCAGAAGAGAAACGTATAAACGAAGAGGAACAGTATAACAGATGACGCATCCGGCCTCCCCCGGGCGCGGCGAGGGCTCTTTTGTTTTCCGAATTTGCAGGTCAGCAAGTCGCGCTGCAAGTCGAGCTGCACCGCCCTCTCGGCGGAAGTGGTCAGCAAGTCGCGCTCACGACATTGTGGCAAGTCTTTACCACCATCTTAGGAACCCCGATCTGCCTGTTGCGGAAAAAAAGAATGAGTTTGGTAAAAAAAGATAAAACAACAAACAACCGCAGGACAAAAAAACATACCATGAAAAACGCAACATAAAGCACGGCAGTTGAGCACCTTCAAAAACATACCACGAAAAAGCATACTTGATGTTATTCTTGAGCACGGCAGCGTGCATATACAAATTTGTATCTATATATGCGCCACCCCCCCAGCGAGGAAAACTCGCAACCCCCTCGCCCCCTCTTCCAGCGCCGAGCGGTCGGCCGCCCCGCAAGGGCTGGGAGGGCCGCCGCCTCGCTCCTCCCCCCCCTCCTCGATCCTCACACGTGCACGGCAAGGCCGCCCCGCGAGGGCGGGGAGGGCCGCCGCCTCGTGCGCGGCAAGGCCGCTCCGCGAGGGCGGGGAGGGCCGCCGCCTCCGAGCTCCTCCTCATCGATCCCCACCTCCGAGCCCCTCCTCATCGATCCTCACCTCCGAGCCCCTCCTCCTCCTCATCGATCCTCACCTCCAAGCCCCTCCACGACGCCCCTACGCGGCAGAGCCGCCCCGCGAGGGCGGGGAGGGCCGCCGCCTCCGATCCCCCCCCGCGCCCAGGGAGCAAAGCCCCCCTTTGTTTCACCCGTTTCACCATGGCAACATCCGAGGGGGAGGGGGGACGAAGAGGCAGAGGAATAGGAGTAGGAGGAGGAGGAGGAGGAGGAGGAGGAGGAGGAAGAGGAGGAGGAGGAGGAGGAGGAGGAGGAGGAAAGCTATCTCGGAGCGAGCGTCTGCACGCCCAATGGGCCACTGATTGGCGCGCGCCGCTTCCCCCTTCGCCCCTGGGACCACAGTCCCAGGAGGCGAAGGACATGGCGCTGTTGCTGTGCGACGCGCCGCACTCGGACACCATATATGTTGTGTCATGTATACTATCCCTTCCTCCTTCAACTCATCGAGCCCCCCCCCGTCCTCCTCCTTCTTTATTCCTGCTCCCCCTCCTTCCTCATCCCCATCGATCGCCGATAGGAGTTCCAGCGCACCAGCGCGAGCGAAATCCTAGTGAGGCTGAGGTGCCGGTTCGATCCATGATGCGCGAAAAAAACGCGCCCGCGGGCGCATCCCCTTCTTTCTGGGCCCTCGATCCCCATTCCCTCGTTCTCGCGATCGTCCTCCTCGATCCTCTTCGACCCTTGCTCCTCGCGACTTGCCTCCTATAGATCACGTCCTCCTCGGCCCCCGATCTCATCGTTGTCGATCCTCGATCCTCCTCGATCGTCGATTCCCCATCGATCCCCATCCCCTCGGCCCCCGATCCACACATCAATCCTTCCTTGCAAGCCCTCGATCCTCGATCCCAGTCTCCCCCGACTGCAAGTTTCACGCTTCAGGCATGCGCCTGCCCGCGCTCGTTGCGTTTCGACCCCCGCAGGTCGCCCTCGAGCCCCCCCCTCCTCGCGCCCGGTCTCGGAACCGCGCCCCGCCGTATTTCTGGAGAATGTCGCGGGGATCACGAGCAAGTCAAGCGACGTACGCTCATGATCACACATGTATGGCGCGGGTCCAAAACACACATATATATATATATATATATATATTCCTCTTCCTATATTTTTACAAGCCCGGGCGGCCGCAAAACCCCGCACCCCCCCCCCCCCCCAAACCGGACTCCTGGGATCCTGGGACTTTGGGACCCTCCGGACGCCCATTGAAGCGGTCCCGAGTGCCTCAAGAGCGCTCCAAGACAGGCACAAAGCGCTCCAAGACGCCAAAGATAGCCCCAAGACAGCCTCAGGAGCCCCCAAGACGCCCCAAGCGGCCCCAAAGAAGCCCCCCAAGACGGCCCCGGGAGGCCGAAATGGTCAATTTTCCAATGTGTTTTTCGATGTTTTCTGCTTTCTCGCCATTTTAGCTTTCCGACGCTCCAAGACAGAACTAGAGGCCCTCAAGAGCGCCCCAAGATGGCCCGGGGGGGCCCCAAAACGGCCCCAACACGGCCCCAAGACGGCTCTGGAGCGCCCCGAAACAGCCGAAGAGGCGCCCAAGAAGGCCCAAGAGGGCGCCGAGAAAGCTTCAAACGAGCCCCCACAGGGCGATCAAAGTTCAAACATCTAACTTTCCGCCCCAAGTGGGCCCCAGGAGGCCCCAGGAGGGCCCCAGGAGGGCCGCGCTAGACGCCAACGCGCGCAAGGGTTGAAGGACCAAGGTGCATGGCGCGAAGCGCCAATGCAGTCTTGTATATATATATATATATATATATATATATCACAATCCTTCTTCACAGTTCCTGCATGCAACGGCGCAGATCGTATGCGATCTGCGCCGTTGCATGCAAGAACTTATATGTTACGCGATGCCCCGCAAAAAGTGCTCGATACATCCTCCGCAGCCGCTGGGCGTCAGAGACCCCCGGGGTCGAGGGGCGGGAAGAGTCGGCGATGCAGGAGGCGGAGGAAAACACCACATCATGGAATTCGAAATTAAATCTCTTGCACTTCCCCCCCGACCCGAAACCCCATCCGAGCCCCCTCCCCCCCCAGCGCCTCTGTTCGCTCAGGAGCGCGGCACGTGCCCGTCGCGAAAGCGACAACGTGGATATACGCATACGATCGTCGGAAAATTCACCTCGTCCCTGCCCCCCCCTCTTCCTGCGCGTGTTCGACGCCTTTCGATTTTTCCTGCAGCTCACGGCGCAGTCCCCTTCTCCTCCTCACCCCTCAACCCCCTCGGTGCACTGCGGCTGTTGTTTTTGTTTGGGCGAACGTGTTCCGACGCAGCCGCCAGTTGACTGTACACGCCGCCGCCGCCGCGCGTGCCGAAGCCCCGACCGATGTCGGCCCTCGAGACGATCCGCAAAACCAGCGGAAGGCGATCGAGTTGGACAGTGGATCGACGATTTAACCCTGCAGGGCGTGCTTATTTTTATATCTGTACATATAAACGT